AACTGATACTTGAATATCTGAACATATACCAATGTATCTGGTTATTGTCCTGGGGTGAATTGAACTTATAACCACTCTTTTTTTTTTTTTGAACACTATTCAATTTACCATATCAGGACCTGAATAATTTCAAAATTAATTGACTGACTTAATAGGTACATGACAGGGCAAGTTACCTAATTTTTAACACCTCATTTGCTAATCTGTAAAAGGGAATGATAGTAAGACCTTTTCCATACATTGTTGTGAATGTTAAAAGATGGATTTGTGGAAAAAGGCATATTTAACAATTTTTTTGTATACATTGATAATATTGAATTCAACTCACTGTGCTTATTTACATCAAGTAGTGAGTAGAAGACAGTGTGATCTGGTATTAATTATAACAGATAAAGGTTTTAATAAGTTTGTCTAGCAATGAACAGTCAGAGACCTTGAATCTCAGAACCCAATTAAGAACTTTTAAGACTGCAGTTAACATAGGAAAAACTCTGACAGACAGGCCTGTTATTGCTTTCCTGTGGATTAATTTATTGTTGGATTCTTGAGGGTGCTGCCTTCTGGGACTTCATAGACTAAGGGGCTAAGTGAGATTGTCACTCAGTGAACCTTTGACTCTGGGGGAAAGATCAGAGAGTCCTGAGAGCAATGGATGTTCTGTCCAGATTTTGGACTATGGTAGCAAGAAACAGCAGAAACTGAAATAGAATGTAAGTTAACAGAAAAGGAGAAATAGTAATTGAGTTTTGGAATAGGAAGTTTGACCATAGTTTGCTGCTAATTTTGCTGAGTAAATCACACATTTTTTTCTTGAAAACCAGTAAGAAATCATTTGCATGTATAGGTGTGCATCATGAATATGGCCATGGGTGTATGATAATTTGCTTACCATAAAAAATGTAGTCACATTCCCTTGATGTCAGAGAGAGTGCAAGCAGCTCATTTAAACTCCCAGTGGTGGCACTCCTCAAAGTGCTATTGCCAAAATAATCAGGAAGGACGCCTGGCAGGCAAGACAGATGTCATTCCGTGATTTGTTTTTCCATCAAGTCTACACTCCTGCATATGTTAGCAACCATTCGTTTTACTTTGCCCATTCATTTTCCCTATTATCTGTGAGTTAGTGCTTCATTCTTCTAGAGACCAGCCCCTCCAATTGTAGGCTTAATCTCTTCTCCTCCTACCTTTATCAAGCCTTTCTCTCCTCTCCAGGAAAGAGTAGGTAGCTGTTTCAAAAGCTGCTGAGACTTTAAGAAAATATGTGATAAGAAGAAATAATGTCTCATTCTATGAAATCACCCCTCCCTGGTTTTCATTCAGATTTGCATTCAGATTCTTAGATCCTTTCTCTTCCTTAAATCTTTCTGTCTCTTCCTTACAAGCTTGCAGGTCTTTCCTGTTCAATTCTGAGTCCCTTACTACACATCTTCAACCCCTAAACTTCAAACATTGCACATCTGATCTCCCTTTCAAGTCCTTGTACCTTGCAACCTCCTAAATATTTATATCTTATTTTCTTGTATTCTAAAATGAATTTGCAGGGAAATGGATGGCATTAGAGCAGATTATGCTAAGTGAAGCTGGCCAATCCCTAAAAAACAAATGCCAAATGTCTTCTTTGATATAAGGAGAGTAACTAAGAACAGAGTAGGGACAAAGAGCATGAGAAGAAGATTAACATTAAACTGGGATGAGAGGTGGGAGGGAAAGTGAGAGAGAAGGGAAATTGCATGGAAATGGAAGGAGACCCTCAGGGTTACACAAAATTACATACAAGAGGAAGTGAAGGGAAAGGGGAAAATAATACAAGGGGGAGAAATGAATGACAGTAGAGGGGGTAGAGAGAGAAGAGGGGAGGGGAGGGGAGGGGAGGGGAGGGGGGATAGTAGAGGATAGGAAAGGCAGCAGAATACAACAGACACTAGTATGGCAATGTGTAAATCAATGGATGTGTAACTGATGTGATTCTGCAATCTGTATACGGGGTAAAAATGGGAGCTCATAACCCACTTGAATCAAAGTGTGAAATATGATATATCAAGAACTATGTAATGTTTTGAACAGCCAACAATAAAAAATTAAAAAAAATGTCAAGGTTATTAAAGGCAAAGAATGACAAACTATTTCACATTAAAGAGATATAACAACTTAAAAAAAACAAAACAAAAAAAACTAAAATGAAAGTCTCACTATTATTGAGAAATAACAGTGATTAATCTTCAACTTCCCCTGCTGCAAGCTGCCTTTCCTTCGTTTTTTCTCAACTACCATAATTGGCAAAAAAAAGAACATGTGCCTGCTCCAGCTAGAAAGTCAAAAGTCATCTTCATGATTTTCTCTCTTCTAGAACTAACCCAGCTGAGATCCCATCAGAAATTATCTCCTGATTTCACCCACTTCTCTCTGACAATACTGCTAGTAAATAGTAAAAGCAGCCATCATCTCAGATATGGGTAAATTGTGCCGTCCTGAGGAGGCTCTTCCCTTCCTTCACTGTGGCTCCCATTAAATTCATACTGCAACTAGAAGTAACAGTGAAGCTATTACTGGAACATGCAATTTTCCTGCTCAAAGTCTCTAGATGGATTCTAATATTTTGGGAAAAATCCAACGATGTCCATGGCTATCAAGATAGTCATGAACTGACATCTACTGTTTCCCAAGTTTCAATGTATGCCCCTTGTACCCTCCCACTCAATAATATTTACCTTTACTTCATCATTTCCACTCAAGGGCATATTCTGAGAGCCCACCAAAGAAGTTATCTTCCGTCCTTTTCTTTCATACTACATGGTATCACAGGAGAGTGGGGAGCTGAAGCTACAAACTTCAGTTCTGTGTTCCAATGAAAGAAAATTTAAAGTTAGATATGAAACCAAGCAGGAAAACTTCATTATAAGTGAAAGCAATATAAGGGTCAAACAGAGGTTACTCTCAAAAAAGAGAGTAGGTCATCTTTGAGCAGAGGATAACAAGGAAACAATGCTGCTTCCAAATTTATTACTGTTTTTTCACTTACAGGAAGAACTGGGATCCATCTTTCACAGTCTTTACCAATCAGGTGTTTATCTCCTCCTTCACATGGGGCAGAAGAGTATTTGACCCTAGTTGGTCCTCTATGGAACTGTCTTGTTGACCATCCTATTCCAGGAGGGTTCATGCTGAAGTCAATATTATGTCAAAGCAAGTGCTTGGGTCAGTGACCAGGCAACATTCATCTTAGCATGCCTGTGCTATTAATGAAATTTCCCTTCTGAAATACACTGAGAAACCCATGGCCATAAATCCTAACTTTACAATGACCTCAGTAGACCTTGTCAAGAGTTAGCCTCATTGATCTTTCTTTCTTGTCACATTTCTTAATTGGCTCCCTTTGTTTCCACCTGTTTATTTTCAGAGTTAGTACACCTATTGTTGTTCAACAAGTTACTTGATTGTTCACTAAAGGTGATTTCAAAGAAACTCTGTGTCCCTGCTCTGTTATTGGTTTACATTTCACTGCTCATTGCTAACTACTACCTAGCAAGGGCACTTTGTTTTATATTATAATCATAGTTTGTTACTATGTGTTTGAGTAATTATCTGATTTATTTAAAAGCTCTTAAATGTATATTGTACAGACAGACCCAAAACTTATGATGGTTCAACTTACCTAATTTTTGAACTTTTTGATGGTGTGAAAGTTTAGGTGTATTTAATCCATCTTCAACATATATTTTCAAACTGAAATGCCTTTATCAGGATAAATCCTAAGGCAAATCAAGAAGCATCTGTATTCAATTCTAAAAATACAGGACTTCTCCACTCTTGGTTATGTAATAAAAAGCTGGACGATTTTTTTTGTTGGTGGATCATTTTGACCATCTGTATGGCATTTTCTTAATAGTAGTGATGCCAGTGATGGGGACTATTGACTAGGTGTCAATAAAAACAAACACCAAGTCAAGTATACAGGCAAAGCTTTAATCCACACAAGAAAAGAGGCAGAATGGGGGCTTGTGAGGGTACTTCTCCAGGTGAAGGGGATAGCCATAGCTAAGAGATGGTCAAAATGATCCACCAACAAAAAAAATTGTCCAGCTTTTTATTACATGGCTAGGAGTGGAGAAGTCCTGTATTTTTAGAATTTCTTTAAGAAACTTATTTTCTGTCAAGAGACTTTTTTTTTTTTTTAATTTCTAGGCATGGTCCTACACCTGATGTTTATGGTTGATTTAATTAAGGATAGAAGAGTAAGAAAAGGTTCATTCCATACATTGCAAGAGTAGGGGAGAAGAAGATGACTTTCAGCAATAAATTATAAATGAAGGCCCAAGAATTTACCCTCCCCCCATTGAACCCCTATCTCATAGCATTTGGTTTGGTTTTAATTTTGAACATAGTGAACATTCATAAATACTTATTGAACAATTGATTAAATAAAACTGAAATCTCAAAGGTAAAACACATGACACTACTCAACCACCTAAATCTATAGTTTCCCTGATCTCAAAATTTCTTTTGATATATCTTTTTGGTTCTCGTAATCCTCTTGCCTGTGTCTTATCATTGATTCCTCCAAGCTTTCATTCTTAAATCATGGGACATTTTAATAATAACACCTATATCATACTTAGTTTCTGAGTCTGGAATTTATCAATATCTGAGTCTGGAATTTGTCAATATCTGCATCAAACAATACGTAATAGGAACAAATCTTTATCAATTAGTTAGGCCAAAATTTGTTTCCTTCTATTAATTCTGTAAAATGTTTTCTATATTTGACTTACTAATGGCACTTATCTCTCACTGAAGTACTTTATTCTTTCCATTACAAGACACCATAGAAATGCAGGAGGCATTTGAACTAATGACTTGAGTCAAATGACTCTCTCCACTGTGGAATAAAATATAGGTACAATATAACACCCTTAAACTAAAACACCTTGGAAGAAAATATTTTGTGCTTATTACTATGATAGGACAAGAATACTGATAGTACTTTTTAAAATGGCATCTCAATTACTGTTTTCGGTTGATAATCTCTTTGATATCCTTTTATATCTGTCTTAGTTTATTTTCTGCTTCTATAAAAAAATACCACAAATTTATTCCTCACAGTTCTGAAGATCAAGGTTTTGATATCTGGTGAGTGCATGGTCTCTGCTTCCATGATGGCACCTTGTTGCTGAGCCCTCTGCAGGAGGATCACTGTGTCTTCACAGGGCAGGAGGTGGAAGGGCAAAAGTGAAACAAAAAATCAAATGCTATGTGAAGACCATTTGATTAAAAATCTAATCTTTCATGAGGGAATAGCCCTCATTAACCTAACAACCTCCCAAATGCTCTACTTTGAATATTATTATGTCAGGAATTAAGTTTCAAGATGAATTTTGGAGGAGCATCATTCAAATCACAGCAACATCCATGTCTAATCTGTGTAAAATGCCTGCATTTAGGTTTCAGTATGCCTTTGGTGTCAAGATTCATATATTCCTAGAAATACAGACGGATGAAATGACATGAGCTTTCAGAATGACATTGAAAGTCCAGCAGTTAGTTTTTAAGTGGAGTATTTAACCTTTATATTATCTTAACCTATTATCTTGATACCATTTTTGTTTCTAATTGTTTCTATTTCTGTAAAATAAATATTAATATTTATTTAATTCACTTTTTATTATCTTGATTACAAATTCTATATAATTGTATTTTAGAATTTTCTAAATGATTTAAATATAATATTTTATAATTGTATAAGAAAAATAATTTGGTCACAGATCATAACTAATGTACCTATCTTAGTGTCTGTTACAAAGTAAACATTGATTGAATGAACAAACAAACCAATTTTAAACAGTTCTAAGAAAATTTTCCTTATTTTCTCAAAATCACTTTTAGTTTCATATATGTATTTTGACAATGGAAATTGTCTTTCTACTTTCTTGGTAAAAATGTAATGCACTTATAATTATCATACACATATTAATTCTTATATCATTTCTGATAAACATTCTTCACAGTATCAAATTACTGAAGGAAAATGATGACAATTTAGTGTTCCCAAAGCATATGCATTTGGCAAACATTTCTTTTTTCCTTCATTTTAGCTATCTATTCAAAGTGCATCATGGTTTGAATAAAATAAGATGTTCTATTATTTCCCCAATCTTGTCAAAAACACACTTCATGTTTATGCTGCCAACATTCTTTAAAGCATGAATAAAGTTTTAAAAATTTCTTTATTTTCCAAGGTAAAAATTTTGCTAAAAAAGGCTTAATTTTGTAATTTAGAAAAAAAAATTTTTTATGGTAAAGGGTTGATGAACACCTGACAGCTCTCTGAAAAAAAGAATGCAGTTTACAATAAAATAAAACTTACCCTGCATATACCTCATTATTCACTCTTGTGTCATAATTACAAGCTCTGATGGAAGGAACACTCATTTTCATTTCCTGATTACTCTTCCCTTTGGAGGGAATTCAATTAATGTATCATGACTGACTTCTCTCTTCTGTTTTTATCTCTCTGACCTAGGATGGTTTATCCAATTGGTAGATTTAAAGAAAATAGGTGGAGAAATTCTCTTCCATTCTATTTTTCCTTCTTCTTGGTAGCAAATGTGTTTATTTATTCTAGAGAAGAGAAAATTGAAGCGAAATGATCACAACACCAATTCTTCTTCACACCATTGACTAGTTTCTAACTTGTACATGGGAGGGCAATAAATTCCAGTAAATCCAGCAGACCAGAGGAGCTGGAAAGCTAATGATCTGAGTATATAGTTTTAGAACCATTTTGGATTGAAAATTAGAGTTTGGATTCAACCAAGTTGGATGAACCTTAGTCAAGACTTTGGGTTTCCAGGTGAAATCTCAGAATGATGTGGAATCCCCTAAATTGTGATGTCCATGCACTTGGGAAAAGAGCTTTACAAACCTGTAATGGATCAGTAACCAACATCGCCCTAACCCAGATTCCTCAAGAAATGTGCCCTGTTAGCATTTCATCTCAGTGCCTGCATTAAAACAACAACAAAAAAGACAGTAATTATTACCCAGAGTCTGTGTTTGTTCATCCACAATTTCTGAAACCATTCAGAATTTATACTGTGGTAAAGGCAGAGAAGGAAGAACCTGAAAAGGAAGTACAGGGTTTAATGGTAGAAGGACATATGAGAGTGAGTGATGCCATTGGAGAATCAACATTTTTTTTTTTGCACAAATGCAGAGAACTTGCTCAGATATACTCAAGTCCATCCTAGACCATTGATATGTGATTTTACAATAAACCATAATCCCATGGATAAATTTATATCACCATGGTGTTGTATTTGAGTTCAATTCAAATTTTAGAAAATAAAATGAGCCTTGATGAGACTTTGTAAGGATATTTATCTTAAATGATCCTTGAAAAAAATTTTGAATAATCCAAACAAATGGACACTTAGTTTATAAAGTCTATTATTTGCAAAAAATAACAGACATAAAGTGAGTGACCTAAGAATCATTTCTACCAAGTGTGGTTTTTCTTGTCACATAATTTTAAAATCCCTTTACTACACACTATAGAACTTTCAAGACATGTTAGGAGTATTTTGTATAAATAAGTTAATAAAGAATGAGAATTTAAATGTATCCAAGGTTTATTTACACACAGTAAATTATTAAGCAACTCATTTGATGTCAGAGCATGGGCTTCTAAACTGGATTTGTGTCACGCAGTGAAATTTTCACTCTGTTTCCATTTGGCAAATGCCAGATGGAAGTGTTTTTATGACTTCTTTTCTTCCCCAATTGAACTATAATGGTACAAATATTAGACTTGAAGTCAAGAAACCTGAAAAAAACTACACTGTATTGCTCTGTCACTATCTACATTGTTATAGACCGACCTCTCCCAGTGCCAAATTCTCTACAAAGAAGATGAAACATGACAAAATGTATATTTTATAAAGTATGTCCATTTTCTGATGTCCATTTTTCAAGAACTGCAGTGATTCAAGCAGGTTATATTGTTGAAAGATGAATCATATTATTTAAACATCCACACAGAGAAACTGCTTCAAAAGTTCTGGGATTTTAGTGGCTAGGAAACATATTTGTTGAGTAATTATAGGCAGTTCAAATGGAAAATTACATCTACATTATTTATACAATTAAAGCAAAATATGGAATTATCTCAATTCTACTGAAGTTTTTAAACCAAACTATGTATTGTATATCATAATCCATAAAGGGTAAACATGATATGTTTTTATTTTTTTGTTAGGTTGACTTTGCCTGTCATTTACTAAATATAAATGAATGTACAAGTTGATAATATCTTCATATAATTGTTATTTCAAATATACTAGACTATTTACAAAAGTTCACAGGGTGCCAAAAGTCATGTTATCCTGGCCACAAAACAAAACATGGGAAAATGACTACTACTTGTACCTTGGTAGATTGTGATTAGTAGCAATAAAGGCTGCTAATTTGTCAGTACTAAACTGTAGTAAATGTAGTTAACTTACCAGAAATGTAGTTAACTTACTGGACAGTAAATCTCAAGTATAACTTACAAAAATAAATTGTCTTTGTTGAACAAAAACGGGCCATGCCATTTATCTTTGATTTTTACTAAGCATACCTGCTATTTTGATGAAATATAAGGCACTGTAGATAATTCTTTGGGGTATTAGAATCATGGAAAGAACTGAAGTGTATGGAAATGAATATCTGAATTATTAAAGGTGCAGTAATAGGTTTTGTGCTTGCCAAGTTTGTTTCTGCTTCTAGTCAAAATGATAGATTCTTGGTTACCATCTGAAAATGTCAATAATCATTGTTAGTTGTTTAAAACATAGCTTGAAAATTGAAGTAGATTTCTGCCTTTCTGAAAGTGAAGATTTATGGCAGTTACAACATATTTTTAAATGTTCTCTATATTTATTTTTGCTTCATGCTGTTCTATGAAAAACCAATTTTCTTGTAAAAATTGTTGTACATGTTAAGATAGTACATGGCCCAGAATAAAAATCACCTCACCAAAACTTATAGAAGTTCACGGAAAAGGAATGAGTGCTCACCCCTAGGAGGTGGAATGAATATGTGGGAATAATATTTTACCACACAGTTGCAAGTCTTTGAACTGGTAATAAGTAAATTTGAATATTTAAGATATTGCATTACTCTATAGTGGTAAACATTAATGATACAGAAAAGCCGTGAAAAAATTTTTGCAATAGGCACATTATTTATCAATCCATTCTTTTTCATTATGCTGAAGGACAAAACAATATCACAGAAAATAACAGATAATATTTACAAATATCTAAGAAATTTATTCCACTTAATCATTATATTTGTCACTACAAGTTTTGGAGACAGATATCCATAACTGAGGCCAGTGTTTTTGATGCATGTAGACAAAAAAGATGGGCACTTGATCACGGAGCAATTTACAGAAGCAGTGTAGAATAAAAGCTCCATGATGAACATAACAAAGAACAAATTCACTGTCAGCAGGAAAATCACTCAACTTGACAGTTTTTCATGGATAGAGTAGCTAAAAATTTCCTAGTGAATCTTGCTGGGAAGGCAAATCAATATCTTTCAATCTACAGAAAAAAAAAGTTACAAAAGAAAATCTGGAAGAAAAATAAGGAAAGAAACATTTCTAGATTCATAGGATGCTAGCATTATCTTAATAACAACATCTAATACATTAAAACTGCTGACTAATTACCCTCAAAAACTTAAACCCAAACTCCTTAATATTAGCATATTAATCACAAGCACATATAAAATGGGTACTACTCCTTACCAAGTTGTTGACCTGGGTTAGGAGTGAGGAAAAGAGATTTACTGTAAAACATCAGGAAAGAATATTTTGGGAGTGATGAAAATGTTTTGTATTTTGATTGGGTTGCTGAATAATAACTGCATACATTTGTCAAATGTTTATTTATTTATTTATTTATTCCAGAACTGGGGTTTGAACCCAGTGCCTGTGTGCATAGGAGGCAAGCACTACAACACTGAGCCATGACAGCCATGACAGCCATGACAGTGGCACTGTAAGGCCCTAGGTTCAATACCCAGGGCTAGCTGGGGATATAGCTCATTTGGTAGAGTGCCCAGGACTACATGCATAAATAAATCAATAAATAAGTCATCTCAGAATCAAGGCAAGCAGCTGTGGTTACAAGAAAGGAGAAAGAGTAACAAGTTCAAGTAAAATTTGGAAGTTATCCTGGACAGGAAAGCTATGTCTCTTCCAGTTACTATCAGATATTTAGATAAACTTTCCAAAGTTAAATCATGATATTTGAAAAAAAAATGTTCTTGTTTGAACATAACACCGGAGAAGATGTTTAAAGATGGATAAAAGTAGGATAGTTGAATACATACAAGGATTACAATAACATACTAAACATATGCCATACTTTGCTCCTGAACCCAAAACATCTAGAAGTGAGTAAACAGAAAATCCAAGCCAAACATTTATGTGTCCTTCCACAAAATGTGAAATACGACAAATAAAATACAATAAATGCCCCAAACAAAACAAATTTCTCCTGTTTTCTCAACTCATTGCTTGTCAGTAGCTACCTCACTGCCAGAATCCTAAGTCTCCCAAGGGCATTTTCATTCATTCAGTTTTTCCTCACTAATGACCTTTCCAAGTCTATGTTAACCTTTGTCTTCATGCTAGATTGCAGGTTATTTTTCATATGCTCTTTTTCAGCCTTGCAAGTGTGTGCTTTGACTTGTTCACATGAATAAATTCTACTGTCATGTATAACTAATTAAAAAAAAAACTATAAAAAAGAAATGAGAAACACCAAAAGATAAAATGGTTTCAACAAGTAATTTAGAGATTTTTCTAAAATGAACACTTTAGAAAAATTATTGGTTACATTTTTTATAAACAATGGCATGCCTATTATATTGTTTTTCTTTTGTGTTTGTTCTTTTCAGATACATATGACAGTGGAATATATTTTGACATATTATACATACATGGAATAAACTTATTTTAATTAGGATCCCATTCTTGTGGTGGTACATGATGTGGATGCCTATTATATTTAACACACGGAACAAATATTTTTGATGCCCATTCTTCTATATGACTATATCATTTTCATTTACTAGTCATGAAATAAAATAATAATGGTCCTAAAAATAAGAAAAGAAAATGTTAGTTGGGAACTATTACTTTATTGTTGTTTTTGATTCTTTCAGTGGTGACTGGTAAGGCACAATCCTCTAGTGACAGTATAGGACAGAAAGATGAATATGATGAGCACAAAATTCTTCCCCAAATATCCCAAATGTCCCAAATATCCCCAGACCTTCTTTGGAATATGAAGACCATATCAGTTTACCTTTTATTTTTCTTTTGGAAAAAAAAATTTAAATGAAAACAATAGTTGAACTTGGGTTAAACTCTAAATGTAGGAAATTCAGCTCTCACTATAATAGTTAAGGCATTGTGTGCTGATGTGACAAGACAGAAGTTCAAAAAGTCATTCATCTATTTTAAGTATTTATTCCTGATGTTTCTTTCTGTTAGTAAGAATGTTTCAGAAGAGAATAAAGAAGGAAATAACATTGGAATAAGAAAATCTAATTACATTTCCAAAGTAGTGTTAATTAAACTGTGTCACTTATTTGGTATATACAAGGAATGTTTGGAATTCAAGAAAGGAGTTTAAGCACATATAAAATCTGGAGTCCTTTCTTATATAAGATTGATTATTAGTTAATTAAAACAGGGGGCTAATACCAAATTCTATTTCTGTTCAATTGGTTCTCTTAGCCAAGTAAATTTTATCATTCCCTAGAATACTGTATGGTTTTAAAATATACTTTTGTACTATCACAATGACATCTCTTTAGCTGGCTTTAAGTCAGAATATATATTGCCCTGCTCAATAGTTCAACAAATTCCAACTTACTATTTTTTTCTTTTAAAGGCTTTCAAATATTACAATGACCTTTACTAAAATAATGTAACCTTTCCTCTTAGCAAGGTATCTAAATGAGTCCATGTCAGCTTTCTTATATAAATAAAAATCTTCTCTGTTCAATCCTATATTATACACTGTGTAACCTCAGCTTTCTCTCTCACTATTTTTAATAGA